GGACACTGGAAGCGGGGTCTAGGGCCCAGATAGCTCCAGGAGATGCCCTTTCATTCTGGCTTGAGGAATGAAAAAGGGAGCTCTTAATGCCCAAAGAGCATGGGTAGTCCCTGGTTTTCTCTTTCTCCTCTTTTTCTGTTCTCTCATGCCACAGCCCCCAGGCAGACCCACAGTGCAGCGGTGACTGTCAGTAATGTGGTAGGGCCAAAACCCTAAGGAAGGGGAAACTTGCTCTTCACAGAGAGGAACTGTGATCCCAAGAAGGTGAGGCCAGCCCCCATGGCTTTTTTCTCTCTCTGTTCTCCTGCCCCTGGGACCTGAATATGGGTTCAGATGTGGAAGCGTGTGGCAGAACAGGGTACCAGAGCCCTGAATTTCTGAGTGGAGGACCCAAAAGGGGAGCACCAGGGAACTGAAAAGTGCAGGGGAGATTGCAGAGAGGGAGGAGCTCAGGAAAATGACTCTGTATCATTGTTTATGAGCTTCTGAGCCATGTATGTCTGGATCAGGTCCTAATTAGCATACTGAAGATTTTGACAACTAAAGTGATGCATAGAGCACCACCCAGGTCCCACCATGGTGCACGCCTGAAATGGAGCCAAAGAGCAGTATAGCTTCATTGAAAAGCTGAACTGTCATTGGAACCACAGCCCACAGCAGTGGGACTGGAACTTGCAGACTGAATCTAACCAGGTTGCACCTGCTAAAGCAAAAAAATATCAACATTTTTGGTAAGACTTAAACAACATCCAGAGTCTCATAATGTAATATTCAAATTGTCCAGGACACAATCCAAAATTACCGAACATACAAAGGACAATAAAATTTTCAACCTTCCTCAGAAAAGACAATTAACAGACACCAAGGATGAGATTTCACAGATGTTGGAATTATCGAAGACTTTCAAGCCAGCTGTTCTAAAAGTGCTCAAGTAAGCAATTGCAAACCTCCTTGAAATAATTGTTAAAATAGAAAATCTTCACAAGGAAATAGAAGATATCCATGGCAATTTTAGAGCTGAAAAATACAAAAACCATGCTAAGAAACTCAGGGGATGGGACTCATTAGCAGAATGGAAATGACAGAGAATGTGTGAACCAGAAGATTGATAAATAGAAATTATCCATTGTAAACCACAGAGAAAAAAAAATGAACAGAGCCTCTGGGACATGTGGGACAACAAAAGGTTGAATGTTGCATCAAAATTCCGGGAGAAAATAAAGAGTGTGATGCTGGAAAAATATTTGAAGAAATCATGATTGAAAACTTCCCCAAGTTTGGTAAAAGTTATAAACTTACACATTCAAGAAGCTGAACAAATCCCAAACAGGATAAACTGAAAGAAATATGCACCCAAAGACATCATAAACAAACTGCTGAGATCTTAAGACAAAGAAGATACATTGAAAACAGCCAGAGAAAAATGACTCATTATCTGTAGGCGAGTTATGATTTAATACTGCAGGTTTTTCAGCAGAAACCATGGTAGCCTTGAGAAGTGATGAAGTATTTTGAACGTACGAAAGAGAAGAACTGTCAACCTGGAATTCTAAATCCAGTGAAAATATCCCTCAGGAAGGAAGGTGAAATAAAGATGTTCTCCAATGAAGGAAAACTAAGGGAATTCATAGCAGCAGACCTGCTGTAGAAGAATGGATAAAGTTCTTTCGAAAGAAGGGTGATGTTCTGGTTCCACCCCAGCACCTGTGCTCATGGCCCCCCTGCATCATCCCTACCCTGCTGAACCGAACGTAGCCAGCAGGTGTGAAGAATGGACTGCCCACGTGACTCATGCTATCATTTTTCAATTTACAAAGTAAATGCAGAGACTTCAATATACAAAGTGACCTTCAGAGGCCAATGATATTTCTGAAGACTGAGTAGAATAAAGGACTTGCACACTCAGGGGAGGCAGTACACTCACCTGGCTGGGGAAACAGCTGAATTTGATGATAACTGGCATCCAGGTCCCACAGAGAGCTGTTGAGACCCAGTGAGAACAAAATGGTACCAGTGTGGACCAGGGTCCCACTCTGAGGACAGAAGGTACCAGAAGACTCTAGACACTGGGCTGAACCTGGGGGTGGGCACAGCTGCCGGAATACTCTTAATCTCCACCAGCAGAGGTGACATCCTCAGGGAGCTTAAAGGCCTTTAATGAGTAGGAGCCAAGGAACTGCAAAATGGCAGATGCCGTGGGTAGCTACACAAGTGATTGTCAAAATCATCTGGGGAGAGGTGGGGGTGTTTTCTTGGTAAAGACGGCTGAAGAACTAATTTTATGGCTTTTCTTCTGACTCTGTGTCTCTCTGTAGACTGGCACAACCTGGAAAACATGAGCTATCGTTATTATAAGGATGATCTGCAAAGAGTACAGAAGTTTGGAGAAGATGAAGAAAAATACCTGTGATCCTGTGACCCTCACCTGATTATCTTCATATTAAAAGGAAAATAAACCTAATGAGGTCAGAGGACCTTCTCACTTTGCATGGATCATAGTCATTTTCCATGTTCCTACACCATCTCGATTCTCATTAAATAACTGCTTAGTAGTCCACTAGCTGGTTGTGCATTCATTTCTTTAACAACTCTCTCACTGTGGATCATTTAGATTGTTTCCACTTCTTTGATATTCTGAGTAAATGCAACAAAACCCATCAACATTCTTCTTTTTCCTTCTTCGAAATTGCTCTATTCTTTCTGGATTTTAACTTACAGCAAAAGAAATAGGGCTGGACCTGTGTGTGTGTGTGTGTGTGTGTGTGTTTGGGGTGGGGTATATTTTATTTTTAGAGAGAGAGGGAGGGAGAGAGAGAGAGAGAATCTTAAGAAGGCTTGCAGGATTGGGCAGCATCCTGAGCTGCTGCTCACGAGACTCCTTGTACAGAGTCCTGCAGCCCAGAGGAGGCCAGAAAATGTCCTTTCCCTTTCCTGCATTAGGAGGAACTGTGAAAGACTTTGAAACGAGCAAAGGGGATTAGTGGGTGTCCTTTCAGTGGGACGCTGGGCATGGATCCCATGCTGTTGAGGTCTGTGTTTCTGACTGGGCTACTTTGTAAGCCATAGAAAACTGGCAGTCCCTCAAATAATTCTTGTCTATAGAAACATCAGTGAATATCATCCCCGAAAAATACAACCATTTTCTGTCCTGGATAACGGGTTATTCCAAACATTGCATTTTATTGGCCTAAAGATACAACCCAGTTTTGTGTCTATCAGCAAATTCATTTTGGCATTCTTGACTGCCTCAATGTGTCTGTCCTTCAGATCCTCCTTTGCAATGATATAACATCTTACTGGTCTCTTTATTAATGAGTAAAATGACATCTTTGATGTGTGTTCATTTATATTTGTATGGCTCATGTCTTTTCTTTGAAAATGATATTCTACCATCCACTTCCCTGATGATTTACAAATTACTAATTCAGATCAGACCTTTGTCACCCATTCCCCATAGCTCATTTCATATTAAATTCCAAGTCTTTCACCATCCCCCACCCCAACACACACACACACACACACACACACACTCATTCTCATCTATACCCAAGATCCCCTGCATACCCAGAACAAATACAGTGTTTTTTTACAAGATGTGTGTGTTTTGCACTAAAAACATATGCATCTGGGTATTTGGCCAGGCTTGGACCCCCGAGATACGAAGCAGTCTTTGAGAACAAACTGTAGGGACTGAATGAGGTAATGACCTCACGAGGGAACAGTATAATGTGTTGTCTCTTCAGAGTCTGTTTTACACTGAATGCTGACTTCAGTTCAAGTTAAAGAATTGCCAAGTCCTCTTCTTCTGAGGACTTTCCTGGCATCGTCTTTCTACCACCAAGGAAGCTGGCACTAAGGGTCTGCTGCGTAGCCCTGGGTCGAGGATGGCCCGTCCGGGACTGGTTATAGATTTGCCAACATTCTTTCCAACGTCTGTTCCTTTGGGGCTGCATGTCCGGCTGCATCAGGCCACCTGGGGCCTTTGTTGGATAAAAACTTGAGATTCCTGGAAGCCTTGGCCAGGAGGCATGACAAGGCTACGCTGTGGGTGGCTGGTGTCAGATTATCTCCAGGTGTCCCCTTGAAATAGTTTCTTTTACGGACCCCTACAGAGACCCAACAGAGGGATTGGCCCAAGGAAGGAGAGCTTCTGCTCCGAATAGCTACCAGAATCACCCAACATGCCCTGAAATATGTCTCTGAGATATGGTGAGACCCAGGGGATTGTAATCACAGGCTCCTCTCTAGACCACGGCCACCCAAGTGTGGTCCAGGCTCCACGATGCTGGTATCACCCGGGAGCTTGCTCAGGCCCAAGGCCAGACTTGCTGAATCCGAATGTGTGGGTTACAAGATTCCCTGCTGATTCATATGCACTCCGGAGTCTGGAAGGGCTGGGGTGATGGAGGTCACACTACCTGGGAGGGATCAAGTCTGTGAATCTCGTTAGCTGGGGAACTGTGGGCCAGTCACTTCCACCTCTCAGGGCCTGTTTCCCCATCTATAAGAGGACAATAACCTCTGTACCACGGGGCCATGGAGAGATCCAAGGGATGTGAAAGCACCGACTGGCATTGCCTCATAATTTGTTTAAAGGCCAAGAGAACTGCAAGGAAATCCTGGTGTGGGATGGGGTTGGTATCCTGTGGGGATGGGCGGATGGAAGGCTCCATCCCAAGCTGCCTTTCTGGTCTTTACCCAGACAGATGAGTGCTCCCTACAAGCAGGACACGTTCTATTTTTGCAGGGGAGCCCCGCTGGGGCCCCAGGCCCAGGGTGGCCAGGGCTGGGCCATGGAGCTGACCCAGAAGGTCCTTTCACTGCCACTATGCACAGCTGCAGAGAAGTTAGCCTGATGCCCGACCCTCATTTCTCGAGCCTTCTCTGCAATCATCTACCGCAGGGATTTGTCCTTGGGCAAAATCCATGTATCAGGCTTCCCTCCTTGAAGGTCCTGAGGATTAAATGGAGCCCTTTGTGCTCGATAGACACAGGGAACAAGGAGGCAGAATGAAATCATTTTAATAGCATAGCAACACTTTAGGACCAGGCGTCACGGACGAGGAAAATGTTCTGTCTTCCATTCGTACAAGTCTGCTGAGGCATGAGGTTGCCCTGGACAATCTTACAGACATATTTTTCTCACTGGAAACTTAATAAATAGATACTTAAAATGTCAAACTTCAGAGACAATGAGTTATGAGTGTGATTGCTTTCTTAGTCTGCCTCATCTGAGCCAGGAGGTCGCTTCCTGGCATGCTGACAAAGGTGGGGGTCCCTTAGGAGGGGTACTCATACTCCTCAGCACTGCGCCGGCCAAAATCCATCCAGCCCATGTAGTCCCGGTCGCTTATCCTGTGACTGGGGTCCAGGCTCTGCAGGTTCTTAATGACAGACATTCGGCCAGAAGGAGCTACAAGGGGCAGGGGAAAGAAAGCAAGGCCATTATATTGAAGAGCATCGCTAATTCAATCTGTAAAGGAGAACAATGAGAAAAGCCAGACACTACGTAACAGGCACCTTCTTAAAGGTATCAAAGAGCCATCAAGTAGTGGGATTGCTGGACCAAAATCTAAGAGAAGGACCCAGGTCTGGGTAAACAGAGAGGGTAATATTTACTAGCGATGGGTATGGCTTTCAATCTGTAAGGATTTAAGTGGATTCACTGACTGTGGGACCTGCCTCAATTTCCCTACTCCTAGGGGTGTTTTCTCTTATGTAGCTGGCCCTCAGCAGATGCCAAGCAAGAATTTCCTTGGTACTTACCCGTTGCTGAAGTTTGCCCCTCAGGATCCCCAGCATACCTGAGTACTCTTGTTAAGGTAACACAATTACAACATTTTGATGTTAGAATGGTTTAAAAAAAAATGGAGTCAAGTCCCACTGCTAGACAAATACTGTTTAGAAATTAATTTGAAAGCTACCTTCTTTTTAAAAAATGATCTGAGAAAAGGCACACTGTTAGAGTAAAATCTTACTTCAGTAACACTCAAAGAAGAGTGGGCAGAGAAGTAATAAGGAGGTTATTTCATTTATTCCTTTTGGTTTTTTTTTTTATTAAGGATTTTATTTGTTTATTTGACAGAGAGAGACACAGCGAGAGAGGGAACACAAGCAGGGGCAGTGGGAGAGGGAGAAGCAGGCTTCCCGCTGAGCAGGGAGCCCCATGTGGGGCTTGATCCCAGGACCCTGGGATCATGACATGAGCTGAAGGCAGACGCTTAATGACTGAGCCAACCAAGCACCCCATTTATCCCTTTTGACTAAAATGCAATAACTGAATGAGCAATGGGCCTTTGGGGATGGGAGTGAAGTCCTCAGGAACAGGATGGTTCTCATGTGTCATTCACATTGAGGGAGCAGGGACATGAAGAAGCAGTTCCTTTAGAGACATGTGACATAGTCTTAGCCCACAGATCACAGACAGTGGCTTTCTGGATAAGAAATCTGTATAATGCCTTCTTCTGTGCAAGCTAAGAGACAAGAAAGGTCCCTCAGGGACCTCGAAGGGCAAAGCCCAGGCGACTCTAAGAGCAACATGGTGGGAGATCACTCCATGGGGCCACTGTGTCCCCACTGTTTGTGATGCTGGCATCCAGCCCTACTGTATGAGGCTGCCCTTGCCAACTCTTGCCCACAGGCTGCAAAGAGTCAGACCATGGCTTATTTGTTGATAAATGACCTGGCAGGAGCAGCTCCTCTGTCTTACTGGATGACCGAGTAAAGCTAGCTACATTAAAAACCAGAACAATTATACACAGCAATGTCCCCAACAGTTCTTCGCCCCCCAACCCCACCTCAATCCCTTCCCAGCCTTGGAATCAAGAGTCAATCCAGCACATTCCAGCCCCTTTGCAGGTATCTCCAGCCTATGCAAAAGGCAAACAGACCTGGCGTTGAATTGTTCAACATTTTTCAGGTGAAATATTAGTCCTTGCATTCAAAAAAACCTTGCGGATCCAGTTAGTTGTACACAGTTATGGAAATATGGCCCATCCTTCTTCCTGCTGCTGATGAATGCCCCCACCAAAGGCTGGGCACAGCCCCAAGTTCCAGTTAATGAAGGCAAAGTGGCAGCTTCGATGTGTGCAAGCAGCCTGGGTTGTGTGTGTGGGGGGAGGGCACCACGTTTTCAGCCCTGGTGGCTGTGCTGGTTACACACCTCAATTTCGCCATTCCACATGCAGTGTGTGCATTTACCAGGGTCCTCACTCACTTCCCCAGTGCGACACAAAGTAGGAACTACTACTGGTTTACAGAATTGAATCGAAGAGCCTGGCTCCTTTAAACTTTGAAACCCCAAATGGGCAATACAGCTGGGAAACTGAATGGCTCCCAGAACTTCTGGAGAAGGCAGGGTTTGAACAGTCGGTGAGATGTGCAAAGTCATGTAGGTTATACATTCTCCCCGGCTGCCACACTGACAAAGGGAGGCTAAAGGAACTTACTAAGCAGGGCTTCTGGGAGGACTAGCAGACCCTACCGATGTTACAGATGTATCATTAGAGCTTCGCTGGGCATGGGGCAGGTGTATGTTAGATGTCCCCTGCCCCCAACAGACCTGCTTCCCCTCAATCCCTGAAAGCCCTCCAGACTATTCCTGATGATAAACTCTTGAGCACTCCTCAAAGAGTACATGAGCATGTTTAGAATCTTTAAGCCTAAGTACTATAGGGGGGCAGATAGCCAGTATGATCTCAAAATATGTAAAATAGTCAAAGAAACTGTACAGGTATAAATATTTATTCCTGGTTCATATTTGTCAAAGAGAAGAGTGTGATTGTTTTCCACCTAAGGCTGCCATTCCCACATGGGCTTGTTTGGCACAACATTCTAAAGGCAAAGGGAGAAGGTGGCTGACAAGAGATGCTAGGAAGAAACTGCCAGCTAAGATTTGTAGCGTAATGCCATGTCAAGTGTCCGTTCTAGGGAAATAGTTTGGTAACTGGCTTCTTTCCCAGACCTGTTTCTGGTGGCTCTTTCCTGAAGGTGGGGAGGTGGTTCCAGATGATGGCTCAATGAAAAACCTGTGATATTTCAGACTGGTCTGGCTGAAATTCAATCTACATCCAAGGACAGATATTAAATTACTTTGAGACAGACAATCAATAGGAACTCAAAAAGTTTTCAGATTTTTCCGTCATCTGACTAATATTTCCACATCTCTCAATTTAATTAGCCAGAGAGCAAAACAGAAGATGGCAGCTGGGACAATTTCCAAAGAGAGGACAAAATATAACAAATCATCTTCTGTTGTTGTTTCCTTCTGAATTTCCCTGGTCCAAAAAGTTCTGATCTTACCTTCATATGAAACCATCAGAGACTCTGGAAAACCAAGCCCATTGTTTTCTCCTTGTCTAGTCAAGCCATGAGCTTAAGGTTCAAATCCAGGCCCTGACAGATTGGAGAGTAAGAGAGCCTCCTGGGAAAGGAGCCCACCCCCCACCCTTCCCAGCAGCATTTTCTGGGGTTTACTGTCCAGCTGTGCTGGTCCAGTTTAGCACACTGCCCCGCGGCTCGTGTGTTCACTATCAGTGTCCCTGTGGATCAAGTTGGTAGAAAAAAACTGCCCCAGTCCCAATCATGGTTCCTAAGGACCCTACAGATGCATGAGCCTCCCTCTGAATCTCACAAAGAGCTAGAAGGGACTCGGGGAACTCTAGCCTCATCCCTGCTTTACAGGTGAGACAGGCCCAGGAAAGGGATAGGCTGTCAGTATGTCACCCAGCTAGTGAGCCACTCAGTCACCTTATTCCCGGAGACAGCCTTCTGATGCTGAGAAACCTGGCTTGCACACTACTGCTGCAATTGGGACCATGTCTCCAACAGCAAAATAAAAACAAACAGGTCTCTTGAGTAATCATTTCAAATTACTGCCAAGGACAACTCAAAACTGCTACTGATTCTTTCCTCCTGTTAGGTTCTTTGGTGAAAACTGACACATTGTCACTGCTTTTTTAACTGTTGTAGTCTGAACTCAAGAGCTTTCTCAGCATCGATCCCTTTCTGCTAGGGGTTTCCAAGTGTCACTGTCTGGGTGGCTCCTGGTTCCTCTGCATTTACAGTATTGGGTATTTAGTAGATCTGCAAACCCTTTTAGAGTCCGTAATTTGCTCGGTAATTATCTTTTAATGTTTTCATAATATGGTGTGGAACTTAACCAGCAACATGTGCCAAAAACTAGTTTCAAGAAAGCTTTTTAAAAAAGGTTTTCCTTAATTAATTAAATCCTCCACCCTCGCTCTCAGTTTGCTACAAAGGACGTCCAGAAAATCGTACTGTCCGGCGCAGTGCAATTCGTGGGGCAGGGGGGTGGGGGTGGGGGAAGAAAGTGAAAAACCTTTCAGCTTAACGCGTCGCCCTGTGTTTCCTTCCCCGGGGTTACCCGCCTCCATCAGCCAGACGCTAGGGAGGAGGGTCAGGATTGGGAGGCCCGCGGGGGGTCGGAAGTGAGGGATAAGGACCCTACAGATGAAAGAGCATCCGTACCTTTCCGGGCCTGCTGGATGTACCTGGCCAGCAGCGCGCCCAGGTGCGCTCGGGGCTCGTCGTCCACCTTCTGCACTGCCCTCAGCTGCCTCCGGGGCGCCTCCTCCTCCTGCTGCGCCCCTGGGCCCACCGGGTCCGCCGCAGGGACCGGCTGCGCCAGGGCGCCGGCCGCCAGGACCGCCAGCAGCACGCACAGGCACACGCCGCCGTTCATGGCTGCGGAGAGCAAAGGCGAGGGGACGTGAGCGAAAAGGTGGGGGGATCGCGGGCTCTCGTGGAGGCTCGGGGCAGCCGGGGTACGGAAAAGGGGGCTCAGTCCAAACGCGCGGGGCCCCAGGTCCGCCACACTGGTGCACACACAAGGGCTCGCCAGGCGCCGACGTGAGCCAGGTGGCCACCGCGCGCGTGTCCGGGCACACCCCGTTTGTCTTTTGGGTGAACCACACCCCGTGCCCGGGGAAGCGGACAGAGACCCTGTCTTCTGCCCTGGCTAGCAGAAGAAATGTCTTCTGTTTTCCTTTCGTTTCAGAAAGTGTGGTTAGAACGTCTGTCTTCTAACTGGAAAAGCAAGAGATTAAAGCTGGGAAAATAATCTCAAGAGAAGACTCCGTGGGAGAAGCGAGATCCTTGATAGCTAAGAAGCTTTCAATGGGGGAAATAAAGGGTGAAAAAAAAAAAAAAAAAGAAGAAGCACAGCTTAAAATGAGGGAACAAAAAAGAAAAGCCATATTTAGAAAGTTTCTTTAAGGTGCCTATGGGAATTGGCAATAAACTACTATGCAGAACACAGGAAGGGCTTTCTAAAAATCAGAAGTATGCTAAAATAAATAAATCTTCATAAAAAAAAGTCAGAAGTATGCGCTCAGTCTTCTGTCCTTGGCAAAGCGCCGCAGCCTTTTAGATGCACCAGCAGATACGACACCCGCACGTTTCTATCCCCAAAGCCTTGAATTTTTCTGCAATTTTTAGAAAATGAATTTAAATCTTAAAACCTCTTGATAGTTTATTTGAAGAGATTGCAAAGTACGCTGCACCTCTGTGTAACATCAAGCTAATCCCAAACTGCATGCTAACCCTAGCAAATAGATAGTCCAGCATTGCATGCGGACGAGAACAAAGGCGCTTTGAAGTCTCCTAAGCAGCTCTACCCACCCAAACCTCCCTGTTACTGACTTCAAGAAATGTCTTTCGAGCTGGGAAGAAGACGCAGAAAACGGATAAATAAAATGGAAGGGGCACAAAACTGAAGACAGCGTTCTCAAGCCAACTTGACACTTGGATCCCCCGCGGGAATGCGGGGAACCTACCTTCAGAGTAGGACGCAGCGGGCTTTGCGTGCGTTTCGACGGGAGTGGCGGGGGAGCTGAGCCAAGTTCAGGTGGGCCGGCAGGACGCTGCCTCTTAAATAGCCCCTCCGGGAGCTGTCAGCCAGTCATCTGTTTACCCAGCGTTGACGCAGACCGGCAGCAACACGTGCTCAGAGGGCGGCCGTTGGGACGACAACCGATTGAAGTGGCTCCTGGGAGAGAGGAGGCAATGGCCCACTGGAGCTGGGTTAACCCCTCGCAGGCGGGGTGTCCCGTGCCCAGCCCCCCCTCTCTGTCGGAGGAGCTTCCTCTCCCAACTCTGTCCCTCTCCCTCTCCCATTCCAGGGTGGGAAACCTGGGTGTCGGGAATATCCTTCAGGATGGAGAAGCTGCCCAAGTTTAGTCCGCTTTGGGGACCGGAGGGGCTGGAAAGGAGACCCGGAGCAGGGCGGGGGGCGGGGTTTCAGCAAAGTGTAATTCGGAGCTGGAGGGGGTGTTAGCCCCCCTCGGAGCATTCCAGGCAGCTCTGGTTTTTTTAGACCAGTGAGTGGGCTTCCTGGGGGAGGGAGGGGTCTTCACTGTCTGCTCCGCCCCATGAAAAGCCCTGGAGGTTCTCCAGGATTCCGAGGGCATGTGTTCCCGGGTCAGCGAAAGGGCTCCGGCCGCAGCTGGTTCTTGGAGCCCCGGGCCTCTGTTCACGCAGCTGTAAAGTGAGGATGACACCCCAGGACTTTGCTCAGAGTTTGGGAAAGGGCTGTGTTTTCCTCGGGGCCAAATTACTCCTGCTCGCGGCGCGCGCGGCTCCTGATCGCCAAGTGGCGCCAGCGAGTGTCCCAAAGAGCCCTCTCTCGTGTTCCCCTCCGGCAGCGGCATCCGCCCCTCCCACCTGCCTCCAGTCGGGGAGCACTCACACCCAGGCCGGATCCCCGCTCCAGCGCCCGCTGCTCGGCTTAGGCTTGAGGACCTCGCCCTGGTCACTCACCGCCCGCAGGGGGCAGGGGAGGCGCGGAGGCCGTCCTGCGTCCTTCCCAATGCCATCGCGCCCCTGGCTCCCGAGCCAGGTGACCCGTGCCAGGGCGCCGTGGTGGCCAAAGCCGCCTCGGCCCTGAGGCCGTTTGGGTGGGTGCTCGAGTTCGCCGCGTCTCCGCGAAAGGCACTGGCAATCCCGTTTCACAGACGGCAAACCGAGGCGCGAAGAGCTGAGCCTAGCCGAGACTCCACCGCCTGGCCCTGGCTGCCTCGCGCACTGAGCCTCCCTGCCCGAGACCTCCGGGTCGCATCCATCCCTCCTCCCGTCCCGGAACGCTCATTCCTCCCGCTCCTTTCCCTCAAGAAGCATTTGGAAGTGCTTCTTTCAAAACTGGCACCTGTACTCCGCAGTGGGGGTCCCGAGATGGCCGGACCGCGAGGACTCTTGATGGGGTGGGCGTCGGCGCGGGGGGGTTGGCTGGGGAAGCTTGGCGGGGAGACAATTCTGGTTGCATCCCCTTTTCTAAACTCTAGAGGCTGCTGTCTTTCTGCAACCGACAGGCAACATTTCTGAAACAGCTGCAGATAAAATGTTTTCCAGTGGTTTTCCCACGAGGCTGCTAAGGGTTGTGCAGTTCAGTTTGAGAAACCGGTTTGATTTGTGACTGTGGCTAAGACATTTCTGGGAACATAAACTTGTTATAAGACAGAATCACCTAAACGGCTTGTTCAAACACCTCCAGAGTTTTTGATTCTGAAGTGGGGCCCAAGAATCTGCATTTCTAACAAGTTCCCCAATGAGGCACCTGCTGGTGGGCCCCTGACCACCCTTCGAGAAGCACTGCTGTAGAATTTCCCTATGGTAAGCCAGTGACTTAATGCCCTTCCTTCCATCCATTTAATTAATATGTATTCATTGAACACTTGCTTTGTGCCAGGCATTGGAGATGTAGTATGAACAATGGTGACAACATAATGGGGGAGCAGAAAAAACAAGTTAACAGACACCCCCCCTGGTGATTCTGATGTACTGGGGGGACTATCAGGGTGGAGGAGGTGGGGGATGATCCCAGAGAAATGTGGTTTTTTGAAAAAAGATTTATTTGAGAGAGAGAGAAAGTGCACAAGCAAGTGCAGTGGAGGGGGGTAGGGGCAAAGGGAGAGGGAGAGAGTCCTCAAGCGGACTCCACGCTGAGTGTAGAGCCTGGGCAGGGGACCCCGCCCAGGACCCTGACATCATGACCTGAGCCGAGATCAAGAGTCAATCGCTCAACCTATTGAACCACCCAGGTGCCCCCAGAGAAATGTTTTGCTGAGGGGGAGCAAAGGAATGAGGCTCTGATTTTAGAAAGACGAGTCTGGTTGTGATGTGCAAGGTGTTCCAAGCGGGGAGATGCTGTAAGTCAGGATCTTTTAGGAGGACCAGGAGGGATCAAGATAGATTTACATTGAGGATTATAATGCATTATGAAGTCTATTAGTTATCACAAAACATACTGAACATTATGAAAGTAATGTATTCATTAGAGATAATTCAGAAAATCAGTAAAAGGAGAGAGAAGAAGAAAAATTCCATCATCCCGGGACAGCCACTATTAACCTCTTGGTGTCTGAGAAGCCTGGAAAGGCAATGAAACTAGATGGCTGAGGCTGACCTTGAGACTCCCTGTTGTGAGATGGGGGTGTGTGTGTGTGGCAGTGCTACTCAAGACCGAGAATTCGGGTGTGAGGGCAGGTTTGGGGCATGCGGGTAAGGTAGGTAATGAGTCTAATATAAGACTGAGCTCATTGCTGGTGCATGGATGGTCCAGGAGCAGGTTGAGAATGAGCCCTGAGCTCAGGACAGAGAGGCACTGGAGGTGTGGACCAGAGTCTTTGGGGGGTGGTGGTGTCTGCCAGCCTGGGAGTCCTAGGGAGTGCCTACGAGGGCAGGCAGAATAGGCACATCCTGAGGAGCGAGAGCAAGAAGGTGAGTGGAGAAGAGGAGGCTGGTAAAGAACCAGAGAAGGAGTGGCCAGGACACCAGAGTAAAAATGCCATAAGGAGAAGCCAACAGTGAGAAGGATTATCAGAAGCTGGAAGAAGAGCATAACTTGCAATAAAGTTGTAGCCACTTCACCCCTAGGAATGGGATTCTGAGCAGGGATATGTTACAGAAGATCCTTTGGGAAAATAAAAAGTTAAAAGGGGTCTGAACTCCATGACCATAGTAACGAGTCTTCCTTCTTAATGGGTCAGAGGGTACTAATAACTCTAGACCACTTCTAAAGCAAGATGGGCCTGGGCCCCACTTTTCCTGTTAATGCAAATGCATATCTGCATTAAGGAGAATCCATTTATTCACAAAAAGATACTTGCTTAATGCCTCTTAAGGCAGATGCTTTTGGTGCCCTTCACCACAGCTACATATCCCATCTCTGGCTCTAGCTGGGTTTGGACTGGGCAGTTGTGAGCAAACAGTGTTCTCATCTCAAGTTTCTAAAGCACCCCTCTGCAGCTCTCTGCCTCAAAGCTCAGCCCTAGCAGAGGTTTAGTCTGGAAGTACAAGGGTCTTAATATCCCAGAGGATAGGACAACCCTCATCCAGTGGGGGATAGGAACCCATTTCCTGTCCTCTGTATGGACCATTTCCAGAAGCTTCTAGAATCTTCTCAAAGTTTCTTTCATCCAGCAAAGGCCTTGATAACCTCTCTTTAGCTGACTTTTCTTTTCTTTTTTAAAGATTTTTATTTGTTTATTTGAGAAGAGAGAGCACAAACAGGGGGAGTGGGAGAGGGAGAAGCAGACTCCACGCTGAGCAGCGAGCCCGATGCGGGGCTTGATCCTAGGACCAGGGATCATGACCTGAGCCAAAGGCAGATGCTTAAATGACTGAGCCATCCAGGTGCCCCTTGTTGACTTTTCCTTCTCCCCTGCCTTACTCCTCTCATTTCCTCACTTTTGTATCTGGTATCATCTCT